CAAAATGATTCTAAAAAAAACCCCCACTAATTGGTGACCTTCTGAGGATGAGAGGGAACCAATTTATTATTTTGAAAACCAGATAAATAAGAGCAAAAATTGAGCATTTATCCTATCTTTCCTATAACTGTGTAACTAAATAGTATATGAGGGGAAGTAGTTCCTTATTAAAGTGTTCTAGCTATTATGTGAAAATGAAATGACAGAAATAGAATATCACCATTTTCCAACTCCCAGTGAGTCAGTAGGTCTAGGCATTGAGCCTCAATAGCCACTAACACCAAAATGGTAAAGTGAAGCAAAAACTTAGATGCCTACATAGACTTTGCCAATAGGATCAAACACGAACTTGATTAGCCAGCCTCTGGATCCAGTGGCCAATCTACAGGAAACGTAGAGGAGAAAGGAACACGTTCAACTGCACCGTAAGTGTGCAAACCGCAAAACCCAAACTGTTGGAAACTCTACAGGTCTGACACGCCAGGTTCCTTTAACAGATACAGTGTAAGGAAAATAAGAGGATGGAAGGGGAACCAGTAGATTAAGTGACTTAAAAGGGAAAAAAAAAAGACTTAAAAGGAATATCAAGTCAGAAATAATCATGGGCAAGACTAAAGTGACAGGGATAAAGACTTAGGTGATAAAGCCATTAAGAAAAACAGGGAAGTTACTTCCTACTATGGAAGTCAGGATAGTAGGTAGTTTTGGATGGAAAGAGAGGAATGTGATTGGGGTGAGCTACATGGAAGGGCTTCTGGGGAGGCTGGCAAAATTCTGGGTTTTTGTCCTAGATGATGGTTACAAGGGTGTGTGCCTTATAATAATTCACTCAGCTATAAAAAAATCAATTTAAAAATTGTTGAAGGAAAGCACGTTATTGTGGCAACTGAGGAAATCTGACTATGGACTGTATATTAGATAATGATTATGTAAACAATGAAATGTCAACTTTCCTGAGCATGATAATGGTATTGTGATTATATCAGTAAATGACCATGTTCTTTAGAAATATATGCTGAATTAGATATGGGTAGAAAGCGCAGTATCTACAACTAACTCTCAAATGGTTCAGAAAAATAAAATACACATGTGTGTGAGCACCCAAGCATGTGTAAAAAGACAAAGCAAATGTAGCAAAACGTTAATTGGTGAATCTATGTGAAGGGTATATTCATTATACTATTCCTGCAACTGTTCTGTAGTTTTGAAATATTTTTTCAAAATAAAAATTGGGGAACAAAGTAAAGACATACACACGCACACACACACACACACACGCACAGACAAACAAACACACCCCACAGTGAAAAACTATTTCAAAGGCACCAGACTGGCAAAAATGGAAAACTTGTCATCTAGTAAAATTGATGTGCAGACATTATGAACTAGGAATCCTGGCCTAGAAAAACTCTTTTTTTTAATTTAATTTAATTTAATTTAATTTTTGGCTGTGTTGGGTCTTCGTTGCTGAGCGCGGGCTCTCTCTAGTTATGGCAAGTGGGGGCTACTCTTTGTTGCGGTGCGTGGGCTTCTCGTTGCAGTGGCTTCTCTTGTTGTGGAGCACGGGCTCTAGGCGCGCAGGCTCAAGTAGTTGCCGCATGTGGGCTCAGTAGTTGTGGTGCACAAGCTTAGTTGCTCCGCAGCGTGTGGGATCTTCCTGGACCAGGGATCGAACCCGTGTCCCCTGCATTGGCAGGCGGATTCTTAACCACTGTGCCACCAGGGAAGTCCCTGGCATAAGAAACTCTTAATAAACCATGACACATGTACAGAAATATGCTCAAAGCTGTGTGTGCAACGACAATATACTGAAAGCCACCTAGTTAGCCATCAACACGGGTATCTTCCCACAAAGAAATATTCCATAGCAGTGTAAATTAATAAATTACGGGCATACACAACCCATTAACATAATGTTTAGGGAACAAAACAACTTGCAAAATAACACATATAGTAAGACTCCATCTAAACTATATATTTATTTATATGTATATTTGATAGTTATTTATATTATAAAGGCAAAAAACAGGCAAGCTCAACTACAGTGTTTTAGAATAAATACGTTATGTGGTTCAACTAAAAGAAAAAGTTTAAAGAAAAACAATGGAATGAAAAGCACAAAATTCTGGATAGTGGTTCTCTCTGGGGAGATGGAAGGGCCCAGGAAGAACTTGGAAGACATTGGTAATTTCCTATTTTTAAAGATGGATGGTTTGTTGGTATATGTATGGTCATTATATTGTTGGATTTTAAACTGTAAATATACATATATATGCAGTTATTTTATATTATATATGTTGTGTTTTATGACATATTTTATATGTTCTTTTATCTCAAAAAAAGAAAAAAACCTAGACCCATTATGATGACAATATTTCTGGACACACCCATCTTTGCTTCACAGTTCAGACAAAGAATTCATTTTAGCTGAAGCAGATAAATTCCTCTTCACTGACCAATGACAGGACTGAAAGACCACCTCATCCAAACTTCGTTGATAGAAGACTCAGTGCAAACATTAGAATTAATTCCTAAAAGGGAAAAGAGATGTGGCAGAGCAAAAAATGCCACAGACTGAAGGTTTCTGAGAGTAATACAGCTCCATGGGAAATAATATAATTGAGAACTGAACCATCATTCATACCACTTAAAATTTCAGGGCCCCATTATTTGATAGTGAAATGCCATTGTCTTTTATTGATTTCCCTGCCCCCCACTTGTTGGACTTTGTGGGTTTCAGTATTTTTTGTTTGTTTTTGCTTTATTAACGAGAGCAAAGACTTAAGCTACCCTGGAACAGGAATCTTTGGGGGCCCGGCAATTCTTTGAAGGGAACTGAAGAACACCTCATGGAGGAGATATTTGTTTCTTAGCATGTCTGGAAATTGGTTTTCAAGTTAGGCTTCAATTACCAGTCTCAATTAGGTGCAATCTGATTCATAATTGTTTGTACTATAATAATGTAACAGATGTACCTACTTTTGGTTGTAAGTAGTCAAAGAAATTTGTGGAATACGGGGATCTAGTTCCCCTGCACTGGAAGTACAGAACCTTAACCACTGGACCACCAGGGAAGTCCCTCAGGGCCCCATTTTAAACACAATGTCCACAAATTTCTTTGACTATTTACCACCAAAAGTATGTACATATCAAATAATTCCCCAAATCTAACTATATCGAATCTTGAATTAATAAGGCCTTCTGATATTTTTCATTTAAAACTTGTGCTAAATGTTTAAGTAGTCAACATCCATTTTATTATCTTCTATTCACAACAGATAGCTGTCAGGACAACTGTGCTTTGAGAGTAAGTGAATGGAAGAACACTAAGCTCTCAGTGACGCTCAAGAGGGCAAGAGCATAGAAGGAAGACCAGAGAAGACATGCAGACCAACCCCAGGCTAATTAGGCATCTTTACTATCTCGCTCCCCAAAGACTTGCATGTAAATACGAGTAGCTATAATATCCAACGTCTTCAAATTACAATAAAATGCTGTTCTGCTTAGCTTGCATTCCAACCACAGTCCCATTGGTGTGCACGTGTCTGCCTGACACCACAGTGAGCGCTCAGAGGCTCCCAGGGGATCCCCCCCCCACCATAGCTTTCATGTGCATCGGTTCTGCACTGACACCACAGTGAGCACTCAGAACTGAGGAGTTTCATTTTCTACATTTCTTTCTAAGGCTGTGTATAGTTTTCCTGACATTCTGTTTCCTTTCCCATATTAAACTCAGTGTGGACTTCAGGAATTTTTTAAACAGGAAAGAAAGCTTCCAAAGAAAATGTCAGAGAAATGAAAATAAAACTATGAGCATTTATTCTTTAAAAGGGATTGCCAAAGGGCACTTGATATTAATATAGAACTTCCTACTCAAGAGCTAGTTTAAACAGGCTCAACAGAGACTAATTCATTTACAAATCACCAGTACAATAATTAGTCTTAAGATTTCACTGGAAGATTATTTATGTAACTAATGAGGAGGGCTTATAATTTATTCTGTTAATGTTACTTCCAAATTCCAGTTTGAAATCCTGGGTTTTGAGATAGGTATGTATGTATTTATCTATTTATCTATCTATTTATTTATGGGCCATGCCGCATAGCATGCGAGATCTTAGTTCCCCGACCAGGGATCAAACCCATGCCCTCTGCAGTGGAAGCTCGGAGCCTAACCACTGGACCACCAGGGAATTCCCTAGGTATTTATACTTTTTAAAAGGGTATTCTGATTTGAGATGACAGGAGTCAAAAGTGTTCTATGATACAGAAGGTATGTTAATAATAAGAACCCTAATTCTTCCTTATCGAGCTGTGCCTCTGAGTGCTTGGAGGAGGCATGATGCCTTGTTCTATACTCTCTAATCCTTATCAGAGGAAAGAGAGAATGTCCCAGCAAACATGGGCAACATTTAATCAGCTAAGTGGCTGTGAGAAGAGACAAAAAAATGACCTGTCCTTATAATTCCACAACCTTTTCCCCTCTGCTGTTTGCCCACCAGTCAGCACAATGGCCTGTAACTGGTGGCTGGTCCCGTATATGCCCTTAACTGGGCCCATAGGCTAGGGGATGAACAGTTACAGTACTGATAACGCGAAGAACAAAGCCTATGGTGAATGAAATATCAAGAGGAGTCTTGGTTATTTGTCTTTTGCTGGGAGCATAGCATGTTCCCTTTGAATCTAGTTTTGATAAAACTTTCAGATAATATGCAACACTTGGAGCAAACTGTAAATACAATACAGTGGAAATTATGGTCTAAGACTGGGGTGGAATATATTTTATGGCCCCCACTTATTCAGCCCTGCTGAAAATAATCAAATGCACAGAGGTTCTATTGCTCCTCCAATAAAGGCCACCAGAGAATCTGAGCTAGAAGCATAAGGAAATACAAACAGAAAAAGCAAGAGCAAGCAACAGGGCATCAAGAATTTTATAAAACCCGACAGAAACCACATATTTAAACCAAAAGGAAGATAATGAAAAAGATCTTTCTCACCTTTTGAATGTTCTCCTTCCACAAATCTTCTACGACTATGTATCCACGTAAACCCCAGTCATATAATTTCTCCCCACTGACCTTGAAACAAAATATAAAAGATCCATTGCTATTCCATACATGAAGTAGTAAGGAAGAGAATTTTGTTTTCTTTTGCCCTGTTTCCAAAAGAACTGTATTTAAGCATACGACAAACACAGGAATCTTGGAACATACACATTAAAACTGTGCAATGTAAGCAAATAAAAGATAGTAAGAATGATAGCATAAAAAGAAAAAATAGTTTCCCAGTGTGTAGTTACTGTTTAAAATAATTTGCCATAAATTATAGGTGTATATTTCAAACTTTCACAATTTCAAGGAAAAAAAATGTAGATCATTGCTGATATGGGAAATGCCTGAAGATCAGACAAGAAGGAAGGCTTCTACCTATCACATCTAGCACGTAACAGCCAAACAAGTCTGAAAATCAAGCTTAAAATCAATCATTCATTTTTGGGGCTAGGTAAAAAAAATAGGTGAGCCCAGTAAAGATACTCTCAGTCTTCCCAGATCCCTCAAAACATAAAGTCTTTGAGTTTCTACAGCGATTTTGCCTCCTGTTTCAAAATCCTTTCTACAACATCCTGAGAGGTAGGCCCCAGGGTCAGAGAATATTTTGGGGTCAGTGAGCTCACTACCTTAAAATGCACTTGTCCAACTTTGGCCTGTTGGCTTTAATTGTTGGAAACTTTTTTTTTAAATATTGAGCTTTCTTAAAAAAAAATGCTTCCAATAATCTGCATTTGTTCGTCCTACTTATGACCATATTGATTATTCTTCTAAATGACAGTACTTCAATTTTCTGAAAGCAGTTATTATTCTCTTCCTAATTTTTATAATAATTTGTCTGCGTATAGCATTTTACTTTACAAAGCACATTCACATGATTTATCTCTATTCTATACAACAACCCTATGTGGTAAGTAGGCAAAGACTGTAAGGAAATATTCAGAGGCCGAGTGACTCGTCCAAGATCACAGTGCTAGTAAATCCGGGGGTTGCTGCAACATGCTGGTTTCTTAGAAGTTATATTCTTCCAGTTGCTCCAACTGTTCTTAGGATATGATATGATTCTCACACCCACTGGTAGACATATCAAGCATTTATCATGAGTATGGCACTGTTTTCAGTGCTTTAAATTTGAGAGAAAAATAATATTTGCCATCACTTTAAGGGTTTTCTTACAGTACTTTTCTCCAAACACTACTGAACAGAAAACAGAATATAAGTGATTAAGTGGCTTGTCCAAGGTCATGGCATTCATTAAAAAAAAAAAGAAAAAAAAAGAAGAGGAAGTAGAAAAGAAACTGTGAAATAGGAACTAAATGACGCTAAAACGGTATCAGAAATTCTCTTTCAGTCGCTGATGTTGCTTTGTTTTATTGTGGCAAATACACATAATATAACATTTACCATTTTAACCACTTTTAGGTGTACAATTCAGTGGCATTAACTACATTCACAATGCTATGCAGCCATCACCACCATCCATTTTCAAAACGTTTTCATCATCCCAAACAGATCACTAATGTTTTATATCTAGTGAAACTAGTTAATTGCTTTGCTCTGGCTTACCCTAGGTACAAAATAAAAGACAAAACTCCTTCCCACTGACTTTAAAAATAAATTACAATACAACTCAGATTTGCATGCTACTATCTTGGCTGTGAATATAAAAAATCTTTTGCAACATACGCTGTGGCATATAAGATAAAAAAAGGCCTCTACTCAGAGGGCAGCCACATATGCTTCTCAACCAGCAGCCAATTTACTATTTAAACCATAACAGACTGAGATGATGTTTGATTATTTTTATGATCTAGGGCAGGCAGACACGATTCACTGTTCCAGAGCTGGGGCTGAAGCAGGCAGAGGATCAGTAACTGTCTGCCTCCAGGACTGCTGTAAGCAATGACAAGGCCATGCTACGAAGATCTTACTGGTATTTGCCACCAAAGGCAACAATTTCCCGCAGCTGGAGCCACTGGGCTCCCACCTGCAACTGCAGCACCGTCTAGGAATGTAGACTCGATACTGTCACAAGGACTGCAGGGGGCACAGTTTCAGGTCATTTTGGCTCAGAGCCCTCAGGGCCGAAATCTGGTGATGGCACTGCTATTCCTCCTAGGACCAAGTGTCAGTGTGAGATGGCAATTCTGGCAAATGAGTCCTTGTCTCCGTAAGTTGTCTAGGACCTCAAAACCTCGAGTCTGCCTTGCTCTTGCCAGTTTTCCAAGGGACTCTACATGTAGAGTCGCACTAAGTCCACACACCACTGCCCTGAGAGACTCTAGTCTTTATCAGTGGTTCTCAAATATTATGGGCTTGCTAAAAATCCCCCGGAGGGCTTGCTAAACCACATATTGCTGGCCCTAACCCTCAGAGTGTCTGAGTCAGTAGGTCCGGGTTGGGGCCTGAAAATTTGCATTTCTAACAAGTTCCCAGGTGATCCTGATGCTGCTGGTCCAGGGACTACACTCTGAGAACTGCTGGTCCAGCTGTTATGGACTGAATTGTATCCCCCAAAATTCATATACTGAAGCCCTAACCCACAGTGTTAATACAGTAGACTGTATTTGGAGACAGGGCCTTTAGAGAGGTAATTAAGGTCAAGTGCATCATAAGGGTAGAGCTCTAATCTAACTACTGTCATTATAAGACAAGGATGATACACCAGGGGAGTGCACGCACAATGACAAGGCCATGTGAAGACACAGGGAGAAGGTGGCCATCTGCAAGTCACGGAGAGAGGCCTCAGGAGAAACCAACCTTGCTGATACCTTGATCTTGGACTTCCAGCCTCCAGAACTGTGAGAAAATAAATTTCTGTTATTTAAGCCTCACAGTCTGTGGTATTTTGTTACGACAGCTCAAGCTGACTAAGGCATCAGCTTCACCCGTGTTCTTGCCACTGTGTTCTACTTGCCAGGATGCCATCAAACTGAGGCCTGAAGGGTAGGAAAGGAGCAGCCAATTGACAGCCCTGAGAAAGGCGTTCCCAGCAGAAGGGACTGCACTCCCTGTAGTCCCCAGCAAGGAAAGCGAGGCTAGCACCATGATGAGGGAGAAGGCACAGGGGGCCAGAGCACAGGCCTGTGCCTGCAACTCCAAGGAGGGCAGGTTGTGACCAGATAAGCCCAAACTGAGAATGACCTGTAACTAGCAGCTTTGGAATTTGAGTCTCTAGATTTCCATGTAATTATGCAAAAAAAAAAAGGCATAGCAAATTTTCTTTGATTAATATTCAAATTAGCATGCATTCTCTGAATACTGACATTGGAAGGAGGGCCAGAACTGAGGTACATAGTGCAGAAAAACATTTAAATTTGTTGTAGTTCATTTACATGTGCAAACAAATTTTAGTCTGGTGTTAGAAAGGCTGCAAAATAAAATTAAATTAAGCAGTAAACCCATACATACATAAGCAAGAACAAAGGACATGCAAGCTTACTGAATCTAACTTACCTGGACAAATACAATGGCTTGTTGTGGATAATAAAGAGAGGCAGCTAATCCCATGAAAACAGGTGGATACACCAGCTTCTTTATTTTTGAACCTATTAAAAAAAAGGTTATGGACACCATCAGAGTATTCATTATCTTTACCATTACAGTTTGTGTCATATATCTAACATTGAATAAGACTTCTTTGGTCTTAGACTGACAGAGAATGTGCCTAATATATGAACCAAAAAGGACCACCACATTTTCATAGCTTTAGGAAGATACAATTCACACAACTCACCCACTTAAATTGTATCATTCAATGGCTTTTAGTGTATTCACAGAGGTACAAGGCCATCACCACAATCAATTTTAGAAGTCATCACCCCAAAAGAATCCCCACATCCGTGAGTAGTCACTCCCCAATTCCTCCATGACCTCCAGCCCTAGGAAACCATTAATCTACTTTCTAACTCTATGGATTTGCCTACTCTGGACATTTTGTATAAATGGAATTATATAATACATAGTCTTTTGCACCTGGCTTTTTTCATCAATACAATGTTTTCAAGAGAACCACCATTTCTAAGGAAACAGAAAAAAAGATTGTTTTAAAAAGAAAACCACATGTTATTTTGGTTTCTAAGGTTTACATTCTTTCATAGTAAACTGGCTTCCTATTTAAATACTGAATGCAAGCATTCCTCTCCTCTTCTTTCCAATACCCCATAAAAATAACAGTAAAAGAATAAAACACAGATAATAAGCCCACAACAAAGAGAAAATGTATGGAGGGGCTATTGGCTATTAAGAAGGGTCAACCAAGGTTCAGAAAACGGAGAGTGGATGGGAGCAAAAGGACAGACAGCCTTTAAATCCTGAGGAGGGGCCACAGCAGAGGAGGGAGCAGAATGTCCCTGGCAGCCCAGAGATGTCAGGTACCATGCAGGGTGGAGAGGGCAAACAGGGATCAAAATAGGGGGAGAAATACAAGTCCTGTGCGTGGACCAGGTGAGCCTCTCCTGCCTCCATGCCATGCCTGTGCAAAACTGCCTGTGGCCATGCCATCTCGCCAGACAAAATCTTAAAAGGGGGCAGGGTATCGCTAAAGAAATGCCATGGATTTGCTGCTAAGAACCGAGACAGCTGGTGTGAGTGCATGTGCGTGTTAGTGCTGAAGACTCCAGCCTTCCTCAGGTGGGCACTGTCACCCCCCCACCTAAGGGCAGGCCCCTTTTGGCTCACCCTGAGGGAGAACCTGCTTGCCAGCAAGCCCCATCTACACGCAAAATGTTATTAGAGTTTCAATTGCCTTGTTCTTTCTTGTTTTGTTTTTTGCCTTGTTCTTAAACATGACTGTACAACTGAGGAAAGCCTGCAACATACAAGAGAAGATCAAGACAAGCAAGAAGGAAAAATGACCCTAAAGGAAAGAGAAGAACTTAAAAACAAAACTAAACCTGTTATTAGGTATCATCAATAAATTCAAGAAGCTACTGCATTAAAAGAAAAATGAGTTCTGTGAAGAGAGAGCAGAAAAGAGCTCTTGGAAATGACCAAAGTAAACTAATGCAAAAAGAATAAAATAGTCAAGAAAATACAAGAGACACATGGGGTCAGTTTAAATAGCTCAATCACAAATGAATTCGAGTTCAGGAAAGAAAAAGAATGAGAGGAAATTTTCAAATAAATACAAGATATATATTTGCCTACAGCTGAGGGCTGCAAGCCACCAAAATGCCCAACCAAAGAATGAAAACATCTATATGTAGTCACAGCACCATGCAAGTTTAGAACACTGAAGACTAAGAGAAGATCCTCAAAGCTTCCAGAAAAAAAGAAAAAAATGAATCACTTCATAAGGAACAATCACGCAGACTGGTTGCTGACTCTCACACCTGCAACGCTGGGTGCTAGAAGATGCAGCCAGAAAAGTTTTGATGGAGAACAAATTCTACAACCAACCAAATGATCACTAGGTATGAGTCCTTTCAGACTTGCAAAAACTTGGAAAGTTTACCTCCAACATAGGCTTTTTTGAAAGTGACTTAAGCATGTAGTTCAACAACATGGCAGCAAATCTAGGAGAAGACAACACGGACCCCAGGCAAAGGGGGTCAAACCCAAGAAAGCGTGGAGCCATGGCCCAAGACAACAGCTGTGTTGACTGAGTCTCAGTCTAGACTGTGAGAATGCGTAGAGCCCTGGGAAAGGGGAAATGAACAGACAGAAGGATGGAGAGCTGGGAGAAATGAGAATGAGATTAAGAAAACTGGTAGAGGGTAAAACTGGAGAATACACTAGAAATGGACTTGACACAAGAAACAGTCTCCACTCAGAGGCACGGGGTTTTTGAGATGGGACGCATATAGATGCTAGTGCAATGTATGTTACTCACATTTACAAAGAAGAATGTAAGTGCTGTTTATCGGTCTTAAACTTTAAACAGACAAATCCCCCAAAATGGAACTGGGGTTACAGAAGAGAATACAAATACTATCAATCTAGACTCTTAATATTATGTTTCTCTCCCTGTCCTATTGCCTTGACCAAAAGGCTATAATTACTCCAGAAGAGAAAAGCCTTTTACACCCCTGGAAGCCCACCTGTACACTTGAAGCTTTAAGCACCTGGGCAGCTCATGAAGGTGAGGACCAGGTGGAGGACAGCAAACCCTCCAACCAGCCATTTTTCACTCCTCTAGGGAAAGCTGATAGGCAGCAGCTCTTGAGCTTCTAGCTCCTAGTGGTTCACACAATGAGCTGGGGGCCCCAGAACTTCTGGAAGAAAGTGCAATCCCCTGTCTCCCTGCCTATCTCCACACCCACACCTCCCAAGAAGCCAGTGGTCTAAACTGTAACCGTCAGCATTGCCAGAGGGGAACCACTGGCTGCCAGTGCTGCAGGGAGCCACCAGAAGGCAACAGTGGTGGGCAACGACCACCTGCCACCCTTGGGTGTCCTGGTTGGGCCCACTTCCTCTGAATGATCATCCACTCATCTCTCTTCCAGAGAAGTACCTCTTGTCCTCACCACAGTCCTGGCCACCCTCACCACCATTATCTGCTGAATGCTCAAGAAACCTATCCATATGATCCAGCAATCCCTCTTCTGGGTATATACCCAAAGGAAATGAAATCAGTATCTTGAAGTATCCCATGTTCACTGCAGCATTATTCACAATAGCCAAGACATGAAACCAAACTAAGTGTCTTTCAATGGAAGAATGGATAAAGAAATTGTGGTATATATTTACCATGGAATATTATTCAGCCTTTAAAAGGAAGGACATTGTACCATGTGCAAAAATATGGATGAACCTGGAGGACATTATGCTAAGTGAAATAAGCCAGACAGAGAAAGAAAAAACAGTGCAAGATCTCACTGATATGTAGAATCTAAAAAAGTCAAATACATAGAAGCAGAGAGTAGAAGGGTGGTTATCAGGAGTGGGGAGGTGGGAGAAATGGGGAGGTGTTGGTCAAAGGGTACAAAGGTGCAGCTATGTAGGATGAATAAGCCTAGAGATCGAATGTACAGCATGATGACTACAGTTAGTAATACTGAACCCTGGACATTTACTAAGAGAGGAGATTTCAAGTGCTCTCATCACAAAAAAGGTAACTATATGAGAAGATATATTAATTAGCTCGACTCTAGTAATAATTTCACTATGTATACGTGTATCAAGACATCATGTTGTACACCTTAAATACATATAATTTTTATTAAAAAATAAAATTAAAATAAATAAAATGTTAGACTGAAAAAAAAGAAGAAAAGAAACTCCACCAGGAGGGACCTTCTGAGGACCTGCTGCCAGCATAGGGGACCAGGAGGGGCCTGAAAATCATTCTGACCACCCATGAACATACCTACCCTCCCACTCCCCACTCATCTTGCTTAGGGACCCCCCACCCCAATGTTGTACCCCAGCACCCACGGGAAAAGATCTGTTGTTTGGTACGTGCGCATGAGTATGTGTGCATGTGTACTTTTCTGAAAAAGAATTAAGGTTTTAAATTATTTTAATACAACCGAGCCCTCTCAGGAAAAGGAAGAAGAGAGAGGAACAAGCAAGAAAACAAAAGCAAAGGCAAAGGACCCGCAGTAGTGGTGTCCTTCTGCTGCTGTTCTGCCCAGGAGAGCATAGTCCCCAGTCGTCCGCAGGACAGTTACCACAGTGGATGTGCAGGAGATAAACACAGTTTAAAGAGCACACATGGCACAGGGAGCTCTCTTTAGGGCTGTAAAACTGCTCCACGTGCTCTACCCATGGAGAGGGAAGGAGGAAGCTAATCTCACTTGATTCCACGTTCCTGGCTCCCTAACACCCAGTCAAATTCCAACACCCTGGCCTTGGGATCTTCATAAATTCTAAACACTATCTAAATAACATAGGAATGCTTTCCTAGACAGCTTTACAGAAGGAAGGGAAAGAAGTTTGGGACAAAAAGCTGGTTCAACTATTGCCCAAGCTGATTAGTAACAACAAACTGCATTTAATTCTTATATATTCTGCACAAGACGGGAGGAGGACACAAAAACTACAACAGGAGTTCATTCCACACACTGGGGGAGTGGCACCAGGGTAGCATTCTTCCAGATTCTAAAAGTGCGGTTAAGGCATGTATAGGAAGGGTTTGTTTGTTTGTTTTTGTTTGTTTGTTCTTTTGTGGTACGCGGGCCTCTCACTGCTGTGGCCTCTCCCATTGCGGAGCACAGGCTCCGGATGCGCAGGCCCAGCGGCCATGGCTCACGGGCCCAGCCGCTCCACGGCATGTGGGATCTTCCCGGACCGGGGCACGAACCGTGTCCCCTGCATCGGCAGGCGGACCCTCAACCACTGCGCCACCAGGGAAGCCCCGGCATGTATAGGAAGGTTTTTAATATTGAGAAATGGTTATCAACTAGTCTCTATAGTTATCTTTTATGGGGACCGATTACAGGGTTCATAATCTTTATAATTTAGGAATTTTTGTGAAGTCTGAATTTTACAATCAATGAAACTTCAAGTAGCTCATAAATTCATCTCATTATAATGAAGTATTTTATCATCCTGTATTTCCTATAAATGTTTTGTAATCCAGCAGTAAGGTGTAGTAATATCTTTAAGTTGATATTTGTTAGCTTTTAATTCTAAGTATATATATATATTTTTTGCGGTATGCAGGCCTCTCACTGTTGTGGCCTCTCCCGCTGTGGAGCACAGGCTCCGGACGCGCAGGCTCAGCGGCCATGGCTCACGGGCCCAGCCGCTCCACGGCATGTGGGATCCTCCCGGACCAGGGCACGAACCCATGTCCCCTGCATCGGCAGGTGGACTCTCAACCACTGCACCACCAGAGAAGCCCCTAATTTTAAGTATATTTTTAAAAACTATTTATTTATTTCACTGCATTAGGTCTTAGTTGCGGCACGCGGAATCCTTGTGGCATGCAGGCTCTTCGTTGCAGAGCATGGGCTTCTCTCTAGTTATGGCGCATGGGCTCTAGAGCACAGGGGCTCAGTAGTTGTGATGCACAGGCTCTCTAGTCGTGGTGCAAAGGCTCCAGAGTGTGCGGGCTCAGTAGTTGCAGCACACAGGCTTAGTTGCCCTGTGGCATGTGGGATCCTAGTTCCCTGACCACGAATGGAACCTGCGTCCTCTGCACTGGAAGGTGGATTCTTAACCACTGGACCCCAGGGAAGTCCCTAATTTTAAGTATTTTTACAAGTTTTTATCGTCACTGACTGAAGGTACAATACATCAAGAAATTAATAAACTCTCCATTAAATCACTGTTACTAGGAATAATAGCCTGATCTTTTATTTTAATATAAATTTATGTTATTTATTTTTGGCTGCATTGGGTCTTCAATGTTGTGCATGGGCTTTCTCTAGTTGCAGAGAGTGGGGCCACTATTCGTTGTGGTGCGTGGACTTCTCATTGAGGTGGCTTCTCTTATTGTGGAGCATGGGCTCTAGGCACGTGGGCTTCAGTAGTTGTGGCACGTGGGCTTCAGTAGTTGTGGCTCGCAGGCTCTAGAGCGCAGGCTCAGTAGGTGTGGTGCACGGGCCCAGTCGCTCTGTGGCATGTGCAATCTTCCCAGGCCAGGGCTCAAATCCACATCCCCTGCATTGGCAGGCGGATTTTTAACCACTGCACCAACAGGGAAGCCCTAATAGCTTAATCTTACTAGTGAAACATTTACAGTTTCTCAGGTGTGACAGATCTTCATTAATGAAAGTTCACTCTTTCTGTATCAAAGAGCAACAGGAATTTGACCAAGTAAATGTGCCTATAAAGGATAACTAATTTCTTTTTCTTTTTTTATTCTAATTAATTTTTTTATTGGCGTATAGTTGATTTACAACGCTGTGTTAGTTTCTGCTGTACAGCAAAGTGAGTCAGTTATACATATACATATATCCACTCTTTTCTATACTCTATTCCCATATAGGTCATCACAGAGTATTGAATAGAGTTCCCTGTGATATTCAGTAGGTTCTTATTAGAGAAAATGATCTTTTTTTTTTTTTTTTTTCCCGGTACGCGGGCCTCTCACTGCTGTGGCCTCTCCCATTGCGGAGCACAGGCTCCGGACACGCAGGCTCAGCGGCCATGGCTCACGGGCCCAACCGCTCCACGGTATGTGGGATCTTCCCAGACCGGGGCACGAACCCGCGTCCCCTGCATCGGCAGACGGACTCTCAACCACTGTGCCACCAGGGAAGCCCCTG